GATTCACTGGTATCCCGTTCAAGGTCAATGGGCTAGGGGCCAGAACAGTCATGGGCTACACCTTATCAACATGGTCCACCTGGAGAGGAAGGCGTACCAGGCCTCGGAACTTTGCCCAATGGAGATGGGATAGACCCGAATGGCGGATTGGGTTGGACAAACACGGGTCACGGACCCAGATCCATCCCATCGGGTCAAGGGACGAATCCTTACCCGGTTCTTCAACCCGGATACCTACCTTACGAGTTTCCAGTCGGCGGCGGCGGCCGCCCCGAGCCCGGCGATCCACTTTACACCTCGCCGGCGGACGGACCAGAGCTACGGCTCATTGGTTTGCAGCTTACGGGATCGGAGAACTATAACGCCTGGGCTCGGGACTTCCGGCGAGCCCTTGTCACTAAAGACAAGGACGGCTTCATTGACGGAGTTGTTCCATTTCTGGCCGACGAACGACTTCAGAGTCATTGGCGGAAGTGCAACCAACTGGTTCGCACTTGGATCGGAAACAGCCTAGCCCTCGACGTCGCGACTGGCCTTCCACCGACTGAAGATGCAAAGAAAATATGGGAATACATCAGCGAGATGTACGGGCGACTTGATCGGGCGAGGATTTTTACCATAACTCAGGCCTTGTCGGAATTGAAGCAAGGGAACCTCTCGGTTACCTCTTGCTTCAATCGGCTCTCGGCCTTATGGAACGAACTCGAGGCAGCCGAGGAGCAGCTCGAGGGACTCGAGAGTACGCTTGACAGTACAAAGAAATGAAGGAAAGAGAGAAAGCCACAAGGTTCTTACTGATTCTCAACGATTCGTATTCGTCTTTCCGGTCACAAATCCTTGCGATGGAACCTCCACCACCACTCGGCCGGATCTACCAATTGGCTGTCCAGGAGGAGAGTCAGCGGCTGGCTGCAACCGAGCATGCGAAGATGACAGAAGGAATCACCCTCGCCGCCTTACCATCCGGCCTTGCTACGGTGGAAACGACGACCGGAGGACAGAGAGCCTTTGGGAGCGTTGGAGACAGAAGACTGGCTGCGGTGGGGAAGGAAAGTGAAGGACGCCCTAGGTTTTCTCGAATGGACGGCTTGGATCAACGCATGGAATCAGATGGTCCATATTCATCCATCAGCCCAGCCGAATCCCATGGCCATCATCAGGCCACGTCGGCACCAATCTATAAGGGATCCTACGGCCCACGAAATTCCACGTCGTCTGGGAAGGTTAGTGGGCAAAATTCTAAATTCAAGAATAAATATTGTGAATATTGCAAACGCCCGCACCACACCATTGACACATGTTGGAAATTACATGGGAGACCAAGTGATAAAGAAAAAAAGGAAAAGGAAATTTCTGCTTATAGGGTCTCTGCACAAAAAATTGATGGAACACATCAGACAATTACTCAAGAGCAATATCAGAATATTATGAAAGCTCTGAGTCAACTGAAGACCAGCGACAAAAATGCAAGTTTCTATGGTACGTTTCTTTACAAGACAAATTCGATTTCAGTTGATGCATGGATAATCGATTCAGGAGCCAGTGACCACATAATTTGCGATAAGAAGTTATTTTCCCACATTCATGATCCACAATCTTCCGTATCCGTACGTCTTCCAAATGGGAATGTTACTTATGTTACTAAAATTGGCACTGTTCATCTTGGTCCCAATTTTATCCTAAAAAATGTTCTATACATTCCCGATTTCGAATTCAACCTCCTTTCCGTCTCAAAAGTCTGTAAAGACAATTCTTGTTATGCCATATTCAATTCAGAAAATTGCTTCTTTCAGGACCTTTCGACTGGGAAGCTAATGGGCTTGGGTAGTGTTGCACAAGGATTATATTTCTGGAAGAATTCCCCAGGAGATTTAAATTTATTAAATAAAAGCATTTCTTGTAATGCAATCACTCATAATAAAAATCTCCTTTTTCATCAACGCTTGGGACATAGTGCACGCTTCCCTCATCCAAAATGTCCAATATGTCCTTTGGCTAAACAATCTCGAGCATCTTTTCCAATTAGTACATCTCGAGCAAACAGTCCTTTTTCCTTACTTCATATGGACATCTAGGGTCCCTATCATACCCCTTATCGTGATGGATCTCGCTTCTTTCTCACAGTCGTTGATGATTATACCCGAGCTACTTGGGTTTTCCTTATGCAATCTAAGAGCCAAACTTTTTCTCATCTGTCGAAATTTATTTCTCTAGTCAGCAACCAATTTGATAAATCTGTCCAACGAATTCATACAGATAATGGACGTGAATTCTTCACTTCTGATTGCATATCTTTTCTATCCTTTCATGGCATTCTTCACGAAAGTTCTTGCACTTACACTCCACAACAAAATGGAGTTGTTGAACGCAAGCATAGACATCTCTTGGAAGTAGCTCGAGGGTTAAAATACCAAGCTTCAATACCTGAGACTTTTTGGGGAGATTGTGTGGTCACGGCAGCCTATTTGATTAACCGCATGCCAACTCGAATTCTTGATGGCCGAACACCTTTTGAGATGTTTTATGGGAAAGAGCCAGAAATTAATCATCTCAGAGTTTTTGGCTGTTTATGTTATGCAACAACTGTGGGCCCTCGAAATAAAATGGATCCCCGTGCCATTCAATGCATTTTCATGGGATATCCTCCTCTTCAGAAAGGATACAGAGTTATGGAACTATCTACAAGACATTTCTTTATAAGCAGGGATGTTACATTCCACGAAGATGTATTTCCATTTCAAGAAATGGCATCCTCATCTAAATCATCCTTGTCATCATCCGACCAGCGTCAATTCTTGTCAGATGAGGACTTGTCTATGATTCCTCAATATGTTCTAGTCACACCAGAACCACCTATACAGGTTATGAGGAATTCTCCAAGCCACACGGTTGAATCACTAGCATTATCATCTACAGATATTGATTCAACTCCAGTGTCGTCATCTCCACCACAGTCTGCACAAGAATTGTCTCCACCAGTACCTGAACAACTCCAAATTGAGCAACCTCGACGCACTAAACGGCACATTCGTCCACCTACATGGACAAAGGACTACATATGTTCTACTTTAAGTTCTCCAGGTACACAATATCCTATATCCTCATATGTCTCATTTAGTCAATTGTCACCAGAACATATGTGCTGCATTAGTCGCATCTCAAAAGAACATGAGCCATCTTCATACAATGAAGCAGCATGTGACCCTCGATGGCAAAATGCAATGGCATCTGAACTTAATGCCCTCATGGAAAACCACACTTGGGATATCGTTCCATTGCCAGCACATCGGAAACCAATTAGCTATAAATGGGTATACAAAATCAAATTCAAAGCTGATGGCTCTGTTGAGCAATATAAGGCTTGCTTAGTTGCTAAAGGATTTACTCAACAAGAAGGGTTTGATTATCATGAGACTTTTTCTCCAGTTGCAAAAGAAGTAACAGTCCGTTCCTTCTTATCAATTGCCGCTATTCACAATTGGTCATTACATCAGATGGATGTACACAATGCTTTTCTTCATGGGGATCTCGATGAAGAAATTTATATGGAGCTTCCACAGGGTTTACGCAGACAGGGTGAGTCTCGAGTATGTCGTCTCCGTAAATCCCTGTATGGGCTGAAACAGGCTTCTAGGCAATGGTATGCCAAATTCACTGCTGCACTAACAAGTGCAGGTTTTCAACATTCCAAACATGATTATGCTTTATTCACATGGACTGCAGGTAATTCATCAATTTATTTACTGATATATGTTGACGACATACTTATCATGGGAAATGATGACTCTCATGTTGCAAAATTCAAAGAGTATCTACATTCTGCTTTTCATATCAAAGATCTGGGACCTCCAAAATATTTTCTTGGCATTGAGATCGCTCGATCCGACAAAGGTATCAACCTTAGTCAACGAAAATTTATCTTGGAGATTGTTTCTGAAGCAGGATTGTCAGGATGTAAACTAGCTGTTATACCAATTGAGCAGAATACCAAACTGACAACACATGAGTATGATATGGGTTCATCTTCTTCTATAGATGATCCATTACTTAAGGATCCATCGGGATATCAGCGGCTAGTTGGGAAACTGATATATCTCACTATGACAAGACCTGACATATGTTATGCAGTACAAATACTCAGTCAATTCATGCATAATCCAAAACAGTCTCATATGAATGCAGCACTGAAGGTGGTAAAGTATTTAAAAGGATGCCCAGGACTTGGTATATTTTTGTCTTCTGATTGCAACATGAAAATGACAGCTTACTGCGATACAGACTATGCTACTTGCCCGATGACTAGGAGATCCATCACTGGTTTTTGCATCAAATTGGGTAAGTCCTTATTATCATGGAAAACGAAGAAACAGTCAACTGTATCATTATCATCAGCTGAATCAGAGTATCGAGCCATGGCAAAAACTGTTTGCGAAATAGTTTGGATACGAGGACACTCTTAGATTTTGGGATTCAAGTCGAAGGACCAAGTGAACTGTTTTGTGACAATGATGCCGCACTCAAACTAGCGACAAATCCAGTTTTTCATGAGAGAACAAAACACATATAAGTTGATTGCCACTTTACCCGAAATAAGATTCGAGAAGGATCCTTGTAACAAAAGGAATTGGAACTATGGAACAACCTGCAGACATCTTTACTAAGCCACTATGTCGAAGACAGCATACACACCTATTGAGCAAGCTGGGTGTCCTTGACATATATAGGCCACCAGCTTGAGGGGGAGTGTTGGAGATGTGATTTGATATTATTGAAGATTCTGATATTGGGCACCGATCTTGATTGACTAATTGATTTAGTCAATCCATGATTGATTTTGATAAATAGGGAATTGTAATCTTTTATATATTGTTTCCCATTTATCTTTCTTATTCTTTCACTATAAATAGGTCATGTACATGTATACTGAAATATACCAATACAATATCAAAAATTCTCCAATTCCTTTAGTTTTCTGTCATTTAGCATTGACGATATGAATATAGAAAAGGCCAAAGTAACTAGCTGGAAGAATAGCACGAGAATGGTAGAAGCCAAGCGAAAGAATGGAGCTATAAATCTATGTAGAAACGGTACGGTGTATAAAAGCAAATCCGACTCAAGACATGTCACACAGTTCCTTGAAGATACCATCAAGAAATTGTGATCAACATCATGCTCTTGAATTCCCCAAAATCGAGCCTCCCATCGCTGTTTGTATCGTACGTGCGAATCATGCTATTGCAATCCCTCCCGCTTCTCTCGTCCCATAACCCTAGTCTTGAGAGGACGCTCTGGAGCTCGTCGCTGGAAATGAAGCCGTCTTCATTCAAATCGAACACTTTGAACGCCTCGGCAAGGTCAGCCTCTCGATCAGCACCTCCTTCGTCGCTCTCCCGGGAATCTAATCCATCGCTCCTCGTGGCTCCTTCCGGCGATATAGAGTCGTAAAAGTACGAAAACTCATCCAAGTCGAGGCTTGGTTTCCCTATAGATGACTCAAGCTCGTCCGCGCTGTGATGGACACCGATTTTCTCGAGCAGCCAATTGAGCTCCTCGAGGCTCACCTGGCCATCGCCGTTCTTGTCGAGGTTCTCGAAAATCCGACGTAAATCTCCGGTTCCGAGGCGAGACATAGTATACAATGAGTCGATGATTGATACGTTCGTGTGGATGGGGGAAAACTAAAGAAGATATATGCGCAAATGCCAATGGCACTGTGGGAGGAGGACAATTCGAATTCAACGACTCCGAGGTGGAGTTGCGGTCTATTTACACACACATCGAACCTTCGTCGTACGGTCGTCTGCGTACGTGCACAGCGTGAACTTTGACGGAGATAGTGGTTTTTAGGGTTTCATGGAAGTTAGCGGGAAGCTTCGCCGAAGGAACGACTTTAGAAAGCCGAATTGATAATTTTCTTGTTTCGGAATGTTCTTGACTTTTAGACGGAGAAGATAACACGGTAATGCTTATATATGTTTTTATTAACATATATTATTATTAATTTCATTAATTGTGCCATTTATTTTCCGAGATGATTCTTGGAAAGAAGGCTCGTCCTTCGTAGCCACGCTTTTTCACGCTGAGAAACGTGATCCAACCCACAGGTCTAATCCAAGAACGGATACGACTCAACTTTGGCATGCTCCTTCTCGTTGTTTTGGTTTGGTGTCTGACGGATCTCGCTGACTTCTTTGTTGGGTTCGTCCGCTAATTGGAATATTAATTAACACGTTGATTAGGACAAAGTCGGGATCAAATTATGTAGTGATTGATGGATTGTGTCGGGACTTATTATGTACGAATGTTGTAGGGGGGAATATGGGGGAATCTCTGTGTATTCTTTTTTTTGTACGTATGCCGCTCGTGTTGGAGACGTGGAGAGACGAGATTCGTACGCGGCGCTCTTGGCCCGATTTGTGTGGGGGAGATTAATTGAGTAAAAGATTTCGGCCAATCTGATAAATGTCGAATGTTGAAGAAGATCCATGAAGGAGTTTAATGCACACCTTCACGTTCTAATGTTTTGTAATTACATCATTTTTCATCGTGGCGATTTACAACACCGTGGTACCAAACTTTAGCGATCCAATTTGCTCAAAATTTCTTTCAATTCAGTTCAAATCGAGTCATCATTATTTGATTTGTGCAAATTGCCACCCTCAAATTGTCTCATATACTAATTCATTAAATTTCCTAATTTTCCTTCTAAAAGTGAAATTATAATTTTATTCACATAGGCAATGTCAAATATCCAACTTAACTAAATGCAAGTCAAAGAAAATTTTTTTCATCATAATACCGAATCATGTCAGGAGGACTCCAATTACAATCAAGAACTGATAAGGAAATGAAAAAAGAATACAAATGAGAAGATCAAATTTAAACAGTTCCTTTCTCTTTGATTTCATTTCACTCAACTTTTCCATCAATCTGTTTTTCCTTGCATTCTTTTTCCAATTTTTTTTAAATTAAATGGTTCCATCATTTAATTTTACTATATAAGTCATCCTCAATTGTGATAATTAGCCACGTTGGCCACTACGCCATTAATTTTAGTGTCATATTTGATATATCTATTAGTCATTGCTTGCCCTCCGATTATTTCCTTACTCTTTTATGGCTATTGCTTATATTCATGTATCCGTTTTTTGACATCTTGAACTTCTTCAATACAAACATCTATGAATAAAACTCAAAATAAGTTCTAATCTGTACAATATCAATAGACACATGGGATAATGACATAAACAGTCCCTAAATTTTTGCCCAATGTGCAATGTAATCTCTGAATTTTTAATTTGTTCAATGTAGTCCTTTAACTTTAGCATAATGTTTAATGTGGTCCTTGAACTTGAATTAATGGGAGGACTACATTGTACAATATCAAGTTTTTATTGTTCATTTTTTTGTTTATTTAACATTGTTGTAATCAAAAGAAATAACTAATTTACACATAAATTTTTCAAAGTAAATTACAAACTATTAACTAATATAAATATCTACATTTTATATTGAATTTATTTTTAAAACCAAGTGACTATCTTTATTAATTGCTATGCATTCACTTAATTAAAATAATATACTGTCGCGACCGAACTCCCGAGCCCTTTTTTATCGAACATGCAAAAAAGGGGGGCTCGCCTGGTACGTGCTAAGTCTAGGTTCGGGACTTAACTCGGGCTCTCCCAAGCCCATACCATATCGCGACTTAGGGTTTAAGTTTTTAACATGCAAGTGGTTTATATCAAGGAGTTGCCACTAATCGATTTGGGGTGGGTCGATTAAAAACCCAAATAGGGTGATGGGAGAATCACCCTATTCCTACGAACCAGAGATTAAATGAGTTCGGGGACTTGGTTACACTAGTTGGATAACTAATGCCCTTTCGGTACCATTTTATCCTGTTCATTTCTGAAAACATTTGTCAGGCAATTTAGATTGATTTTAGGACCTTTCTCCTAACATGTGAGGTGATCAAGCGAGTGCATAATCAGAAACGATCAGCAGTCAGGAACACAACAATTCATGCAGCCTAAGGTTCTAACCTTAACTAAGTCAGATGACATTCAAAACACAACTCATGCGATTGTATTAAAAAACATGCATAATAATACAGCGATAATAAAAATAACATGCAAAACACTACCGCGCAACCTCAGGCTTGTCTAATTTAAACAAGACAAAAATATGCATAATAATACTACGATAAATTAAACACTTAGATATAACATAATTTAAAAAAACGAAAAAGTTTTTTTTTCGAAAAAAAAAATAAATAAAAAATAATAATAATACAGAAGAAGAAGAAAAAAAATTTAATTTATTTATTTTTTTTAAATTTTTTTTATTTTTTATTTTTTTAAAAATAATATTATAATAAAACCGGGTCGGGCGGATCCGGGTCGGAACCGACCCGGGTCAACGGATCCGACCCGGGCGTTGACCCGGGTCGGATCGGCTGATCCGGGTCGGTTCGACCGACCCGAGTCAACGGATCCGACCCGGGCGTTGACCCGGGTCGGATAGGCTGATCCGGGTCGGTCGGAACCGACCCGGGTCAACGGATCCGACCCGGGTCGGGTCGGCTGATCCGGGTCAGTCTGACCCGAATTCACAGACCCGCGGGGGGGGGGGGAGGCACCGGCGGAGCCAAAATTGGTCGTCCGCCGGCTGACCCAGACCTCCGCCGGCCCAAAACCGGCCTCTGGGAACGCCGCCAAGCCTCGCCGGCCACCTGGGTTGCCGTCCGACCACCGCTCGCCGGCCGGCGACCGAATTAAAAACCGGCCTCACTGAGGCATTTCAACAAACACTCGGCGTGCGTGACCAAAACAGAGATATTCCGACCTGTTCCGGCGAACTGGTGGACTCAGGCAACCCAACATACCTTCGGTGACGACACACGGATGGCGGGGGACGGCGGTATGGGCCGGGACTCGCGCGAAATGGCCGGCGTGGGTCCCGGTCAAACCGAGCATAAAAACAGGGGAGAACAGAGGCGGACGGGACCCCGGGAAAGCTCACCGGTCGACGACGCGTACGGAGGGGCTTCCGGCTGGTCAGGGGGGCGTTGGCGAGGCGACGGGCTTCCTTCTCACGGCCCGAGGACTCTCAGTTCACTCTCTATCTCTCTATTTTCGCTCAATCTCTCCCTCTCCTCCGGTGCTCTGTTTTGGCCGAGAATGACCAATCGGTCGGGGACGTCGGCTCGGTGGATCGTTGGCAACTCTGGCTCGCCGGGGGCACTCCTGCGGCTGTGTTATTCCACCTGTAAGCTAAAATATCGGAAAATTTTCACCCGATCTCTCTCTTTCTCTCTCGGCTTCTCTCTGCTCTGTTTTTTGTAAAACGGCCGACCGGGGGTGTTTCCGGGGGTTGCCGGTCGGCTTGCTGTAGACAGCGAGACCGGCTGGGACCTGCGAGACGCTCCCAGGCTCCTCTCTCTTCTCTGTTTTTTTTTTATTCTCTCTGGGACTCTCTGTTTTCTCTCTATGCTCAAACCGACCGAGAAAAGACCCCCCCTTTCTCTCTCCTTTCTCTGGTCTGTATATCCGACGACGACGACGCCCTTCTCTGCTCCATTCAATGCTCTGCACCGGCCTCTGCTCCTACCATGACTTTCGCGGCCATTAGGCCGGTGCAGAGGGGGGGCCGATTCTGTCAAGGTGCCCCGAGACGGGGAGGAGAGGAAGAAGGGGATAAGGGAGAGCCCCTGGAAATTGGGGAGGACGGGACTGGCAATTAATGCCAGTCCCGTCGGCGTGCCTCTTCGGCCTTCCTCTGGCCAGATAGCGACGGCGCGGAGGCGCTCAGCCGCTCACGTTCTGCGGCCGACTGCAGGGGTGAACAGGGGAGAGAGAGCGACCGTGGACGGGGGAGAAGGAAGAGAGGAAGCAGTTGGGCCGGGCCAGGCCCAGTCCGCGCGGAGGAAAAAGAAAAAGAAAAAAAAAGGAAACGATTTGGGCCCGCGCAGGAGGAAAAAAGAAAAAGGAAGAAAAGGGCCGGGTCGGCCCAGCTTCGACCCGGCCCGAATCGATTTCGAATTTTTTTTTTTTTAAATTTTTGTTTAAAATGTAAGAAAATATGCTCTAATATGCCCTATTAATGCACATATGCCTAATGTCTATATGCAATGCATTTAAATAGAAATATTTTTTGTTTTAGGAATTAAAGAAATTTAACTCCTAAATTTTGTGTATTTAATTTTGGGCAAATTAAAAAATAGGTGTCAACAGCTGCCCCTCTTTGAAGGTGAGCTCGCAGAGATTGAGCTCGCAGAGGTTACGTTCAAAGATAAAATGGCACCTAAATTTGGCCCATGCATGTTCAATGAATGTTATTTTTGGCGAGACCGGAGTCCCATTTTTATGATGCGATATAAGATGATGCATGCTAAAGCAAACAAAAACATACCTGGGGCTACTTACCTTGCCGAAGGGTAGAGTAATTCCAGATAGTTGATATTGTGTGTCGAGGACCCGAACCTGTCTTCGGTCGCCTTGACGGGAAAAATGGTTTGTCTAGGACCCGAACCTATCTTCGGTCGCCTTGACGGGGGAAATCGCTTGCCTAGGACCCGAACCTATCTTCGGTCGCCTTGACTGGATTTCGTTTGTCTCGGACCCGAACCTTTCTTCGGTCGCCTTGATTGGGGGAAATCGCTTGCCTAGGACCCGAACCTATCTTCGGTCGCCTTGACTGGATTTCATTTGTCTAGGACCCGAACCTTT